GAATCCCCCACAACCGCCTGCCCCCTGTCCCCCAAAAACAGTACTTCTGTCTTGTCAGGATTCAACCTCAATCTATTAGCCGCCATCCATCCTCCAACAGCCTCCAGGCACTCACACAGGACCTTCACCGCCTTCACTGGTTCTGATTTAAAGGAGAGGTAGAGCTGGGTGTCATCTGCATACTGATGAACACCCAGCCTAAACCACCTGATGATCTCTCCCAGCGGCTTCATACAGATATTAAAAAGCATGGGGGAGAGGACGGAACCCTGAGGCACCCCACAAGTGAGAGCCCAGGGGTCTGAACACTCATCCCCCCACACACTTTCTGGACACGGCCCAGGAGAAAGGAGCGGAACCACCGTATAACAGTGCCCCCAGCTCCCAGGCCCTCTAGACGGTCCAGAAGGATGTTATGGTCGATGGTGTCAAAGGCTGCTGAGAGATCCAGCAGAACTAGGAAACAGCTCTCACCTTTGTCCCTAGCCCGCCGGAGATCATCAACCAGCACGACCAAAGCAGTTTCAGTCCCACGGTGAGGCCTGAATCCTGATTGGAAGGGATCCAAATGGTCCGCATCTTCCAGGCGTCCTTGGAGTTGTTTGGCAACCACCTGCTCAATCACCTTGCCCAAGAATGGTAAATTTGAGACTGGGCGATAGTTGGCCAAATTGGCTGGGTCTAAAAATGTTTTTTTAAGAAGCGGTTTAATGACCGCCTCTTTCAGCGGGTCTGGGAAGGCTCCCTCACAGAGGGAAGCATTCACCACCCCGCAGAGCCCATCGCCCAGCCCTTCCCAGCTCGCTTTTATCAGCCAGGATGGGCAAGGATCAAGGAGACAGGTGGTCGGTTTCACTTGTCCAAGCAGCCTGTCCACATCCTCGGAGGTAACAGATTGGAATTGATCCCATGTAACAGGACTAGAGAGAACTCTAGCACTCTCCCACCCTGGCCCTGCTCCCACGGTGGAGTCTACCTCCTTCTGAATCTGAGCGACTTTATCTGCAAAAAACTTTGCAAAAGCATTGCAGGAGATCTTGGGGTCCTTACCAGGCTCCAGTGGTGCAGGTGGTTCTGATAGATTGCGAACCGCCTGAAAAAGTCTCCTGCTGCTGTTTTCTGCAGATGAAATGGAGGCGGTGAAGAAGGCCCTCTTCGCCGTCGCCATTGCCACTTGGTAGGCTCAACGTTGAGCTCTAGCCCGTGTCCGGTCTGATTCAGAATGAGTTTTCCGCCACCGGTGCTCTAGCCGTCTCAATGATTGTTTCATCACCCTCAGCTCCGGGGAAAACCACGGGGCTGTCCGGGCTCCATGCAATCGGAGAGGGCGCTTCGGAGCCAGACAGTCAATAGCCCTGGTTAACTCTGCATTCCAGCGGGCCACCAGGGAATCAGCTGAAAGGCCATCAACTTGGGATAAAACATCCCCTACCACTCTCTGGGAGCCAATTGGATCGGTCCCACCTCCCTGCAGAGGGGAAGGGTCGCGGAGAAGTCCAGTTGCACCAGGAAGTGATCTGACCATGGCACTTCTTTTGTTTCGCTTTTAGTTAATGTCAGATCACCAACATCCGTAGAGGTAAACACCAAGTCTAAGGCATGTCCGCGGCTATGAGTTGGGCCAAACTTATTCAGGGACAGCCCCATGGAGGCCATGCTTTCCACGAAGTCCCGAGCGGCCCCTTGTAAGGTCGTGTCGGCATGGATGTTAAAATCCCCCAGGACAACCAAGCTAGGTGTCTCCAGGAGCATATCCACCACGACCTGAAGCAGCTTGGGCAGGGAATCCTTGGTGCAGTGGGGAGGTCGGTACACCAATAGGAATCCTGTACTGCCCCTATTGCACAACTTCCAGAACATGCACTCAGAGAACTGGGTCTTCCCAATAGGAGGCCTGGTGCAGACTAATGACTTCCTAAAAATCACTGCAACCCCCCCTCCCCGCCCACATGGCCTGGGTTGCTGTGCGTAAGAGAAACCTGGTGGACAAGCAGCGGCAAGGACAGGCCCATCTGCTTCATCCAACCAGGTCTCTGTCACACATGCCAGGTCAAATCCTCCATCCACAATCAGGTCGTGGATGGCAGTGGTTTTATTCATCATTGACCTGGCATTGCACAGCAACACTTTCAGGTCATGTGGGTTTCCCTTGCTGATTCCAGTATCCTTCTGGTCAGGACCAGACCTGGAGGCAGGGATAGTCCTCAAACAACGACTAAACCTGCCTCCTCGGTAATGACATGGTCTGGTCTTAGCGTAACTCCTCCTCCTGCCCGTGATCACTGAGATCGGGTGTCCCAATACATTCCCCCCTGTGGAACCTGCCCCAGCCATTCTATTGGCTGAGGCCCACTCCCAGGCAGCCCTGACCCTTCCCCTTAAAAGGCAAAATACAAACTATATAATAACTTAACAGAATAATAAAAATAGAAGCACAGCAAAAAACAATAGTGCTAAAATTAAACTACTCCCCACCCTAACTAAATACTTAACCAACCGCAAGCAGAAATAAAATTATAAAATTATAAAACATTATAAAAAACCACCACCACCATTTAAGGTGCAGCAAATTAAAAGCAGTTAAAACATTTAAAACCATTTTGTCACTTGCTGCAGGTAGCTGCTCAGGCCTCTAAACTGTGTCCCGGAGGCCTTGATGGAGGCCCTCAAGCTGTGGCAATGAGTGCAGGCTCCGCCCCCTAGGCCAGATGGAGTTGGCAGGAAAGGGAGCGGTCCACCCAGCATTCACCAGAGCAGCAGCAGCAGTAAAAACAAAGCCGCTTACCAAACAGTAATACAAAAGACAATAAAGCCAAACACTAAAATTACACAATTGCATAATTAAAATAACTACAGCTATGAGCAGCAAGATAGTAAACAATAGAAGACATCTCAATTAAGCACATCATGCTGCTGTCAAAAATGATAGCTGTTTTCTTAATGAATAAAACAATCACCTTTCCTCTTCTATGAACTAATTAGCATACAGTATGTACAATCTATTTTATTTACCAAAAATATTTTAATGGGTTCTTTTTTAGAGAGTGATCCCAGGGTGGGGTAGATTAAATACTGTAAATTAAAATGAAATGAGTCCCAACTACAGTAGTCAAATAAGCAGATGAAAAGGAGCAGATAAAACCACAGTGAAACCAGTAGCAAAAACAACATCAAGCCCCCCCCCCCCAATAAAGCCCTACTGGAATAAGTCATCTGAAGTTGGCACCAGAAACTCAGCCTTACTGCCAATTATACTTCAAGGAAATGAGCATTCCATAATTTGGATTCCCCCACAGGGCCCTTTTCTTGGTTGCCACATGCCATATTTCCATTGAATGTGGATCAACTAGGAGAGCTTTAGCTGCTGCTTTTAACACAAAGGTAGATGGATACAGAGGGAGATGATGCTTCAAATATGTAAGTTCCCACATTTTTTTACAATTTTATAAGTTATTATTAGTACCTTGAATCTGGCTTGGTAGCAAATTGGCAGTCTGTACAATCCTCTCAGTATTGGTATAAGATAATTCTGAGGAGCTGAAGTACTCAGCTATCTAGCTGCTACATTTTTCACTAGCAACAGCTTCTGAACAATCCTCCACATACATTATGGTATTAAACATGGAAGGTTATCAGTGTATGGGTCACAGTGGCCAAGATGTCCCTATCCAGGAGCAGCCAGAGTTGGTGAACCAGCTGAAGCTTGAGAGAGGCACTACTTGCCGCTAAAGCTATTTGTGCTCCAGGAACAATACAATCCTAGATCAAGGAGTATCCCTAGACTACAAACCTGTTTTTTCAGAGCAAGTCATGTACCTAATTCCAGTATCTGGAAACCACCAACCCACATGATCAGCATCTTGCTGGTATTCAGCTTCATTCTATTGGTTCTCATCTATTCCATCATGTTCAGACATTGGTCCAGGGCCTGCACAGCTTCTCCAGATACAGATGACAAGGAGAAACAGACATTGGTGTCGTCTGCATATTGATAACACCACACACCAAATCCCCTGATGGCTTCTCCCAGCAACTTCATACAGACATAAAGCAACCAGAGAAGACAGGATGAAACCCTGTGGGACTCCACAGCAGAACCACCACGGGGCCAAGCCATAGTCCCCAAATGCCACATTCTGAAACCAGTCCTACAGAAAGCAGCAGAGCCACCACAATACAATGTGTCCAACCCCCAATCCACAGTCAGTCCAATAAGGTACCATGTCCGGTGGTATCAAAAGCCACCATGAGGTCAGCAAAAATAGCACACTCTCACTGGCTACTTCAGCCCAAACCCCAGCCTTTGCCCATACTGAAATGAGCCAAGTTATCTCAGTTTTTCCCCCAGTGTTACTTTCCATCTGTATACAAAGATGGCTATTGCCACTTGTACAAGAGCAAATTGATGGGTAAAGGGTAGTTTCACAAGAGGTGCATGGAGTGGATGATTAGAGAGCAGTGTCTGGGTCAATAGACCACTGTATACATTTTCATATGCTTTTAAATACCTTTAGCTATACAGGACCAGAAACATTATTATCAAAAGCATTTTATTGTTAGGAAGTGGCAATAAAAGTAATTTGTTCTGGACATAAATGAATCCAACAGCACATATCCCATACATCTCAACAGGACTTGTCCAAAATTTCCCCGTGGTGTTGCCTTATGCTTTCAAGAGCCTAACACACAGGCACACTGTGTTCCACTAGACTTCAGTAACATCTGAAGAAGTTAATATAGCAAAGCTCAGCTGTTCTCTGTCAAGTTGCTTACCTTGGAGTCTCTGCATCACACCAGCAATATCACGAGGTGTTCTTGCTACTAGTCTTGAGGTGGCCATTGTTACTGTGTAGCAAAAAGTCTGCTGTTTTTCCACTTTAAGATGTAAGATTTTGATTACTTCTTTTTGCAAAACATCATGAGTTGTAGCACGGCATGCCTTACTAAGTCACTGCAGCTCTTCAGTCAATACAAGTGCAGCTCTCAGAAATGGCGGTGCTTTAGGAATGCTCTCTTTCAGGAGACCTGAAGTCTGAAAAGACAGAAAAATGCAAGAGTGGGCTTCAGAGAACACAGTCTTGGTATAAAAATACTTCACTATACTGTCACTAGCTAATACATTCAAAAATCTGGGTGCCTTAGCTGTCCCAGGTGACTAATGACCTAATTCTATGAGCCACTGCATTGGAAAAGTAGCACAAGGGCTGCTGCACCAGAGGAACACTAAAAATTGTGGGCTGCTGCTGGTTTCCCTTCAACCTTCAGTACAGCAGCATTGCCACATAAAAGACAAGACTACGTGGCTGGGAAATGGCTTAGGTGGCAAAGAAGGAATGGGGGAAACATGAGTTCATGCAGACCATCTTATGGGCATTTCATCTACCATGGATTCAGCTTTGTAAAAATCTACATTCCTGACATGCTGAATTAACCATTTATAACTGCGTTGGAGATGGCAACACACAGTGATTATTCCACAATAATTATGCTGGCTGGCACAAGCCTTTTGTGTACAGTAACAATGTGCATCTTCAGGATTGTGGTATATATCTATACACATATCTTTCAACCTAGTTAATGGACAGTTTCCTTAGAAAGGAGTGAGTGCCATGCTTTGATGATTTCAGAACACAACACTACACACTCTGCAACCATTGTGGGTGCACAGTATTTACTGACAATGCTACCTCTTCTCACAGCCAAGACAGAAAGAAAGACTAGCTGGAGTGTATAAAAACAAATAACTACCTGCTGATGGTGGAAGAAAGTAATATAGAAGCCTATCTCACAAAAGGCCTCAGTAAGTAAAAAGGATAGGCGGGACTGAGAGGAGCAAGTATGGGAAGAGATAGCTAAGTTAGCTTATTATAGGCAGCAAAGCAGCATTTGAAACATTGTTCTAGATGCGTTTTGCCCACAGATTGTCTAGCCAGAGTGGTGCATACTCTAGTTAGTGATACCTTGGTTTACGAACTTAATCTGTTCTGGAAGTCTGTTCTTAAACGAAAGCTGTTCTTAAACCGAGGCACGCTTTTCCTAATAAGGCCTCCTGCCACTGGTACCCTTCCACCGTTCGGCTTCCATTCGTAGACCGAGGTAAAGTTCGCTAACCGGAACACTTCCAGTTTTGCGGAGTTCGTATACCAAATAGTTCGTAAACAAGGCTGTTGTTAAACTGAGGTACCACTGTATTTCCCACTTGGGACTACTGCAGTGCACTCTACGTGGGGCTACCTTTGAAGGTGACCCAGAAACTGCAACTAATCCAGAATGTGGCAGCTAGACTGGTGACTGGGAGTGGCCACCGAGACCACATAACACTGGTCCTGAAAGACCTACATTGGCTCCCAGTACGTTTCCAAGCACAATTCAAAGTGTTGGTGCTGACCTTTAAAGCCCTAAATGGCCTTGGCCCAGCGTACCTGAAGGAATGTCTCCACCCACATTGTTTAGCCCGGACACTGAGGTCCAGCGCCGAGGGACTTCGGTGGTTCCCTCACTGTGAGAACTGAGGTTACAGGGAACCAGGCAGAGGGCCTTCTCGGTGGTGGCACCCGCCCTGTGGAATGCCCTCCCATCAGATGTCAAGGAAATAAACAACTATCTGACATCTGAAGGCAGCCCTGTTTAGGGAAGTTTTTAATGTTTGAAGTTTTTTTCTGTTTAAAATTCTGTTGGGAGCTGCCCAGAGTGACTGGGGAAACCCAGCCAGATGGACGGGGTATAAATAAATTATTAGTATTATTAGTATTAGTATTAATGTGAGCAGTTTCTGAGCTTTTGGAGCAGTACTGCACCTAAGATTTCAGATTAAAACTGCCACTGCTGGAGTGAAAGGAGGACCTTTTTCTGCCTCCCCACTTCCAGCCACTCTCTTAGGACTGGAGAAGAGACCCTCCTAAAAATATTAGGGGGGCGGGCAGGGGATGGATGGCTTTGGGTTTGTTTGTTTGTTTGGTTGGTTGGTTGGTTTTTTTGCAATCTTCAAGATGAGCACTAGACCATGTGAAAAATGAGTAAGATCTTAGCTGCAGCTCATTCATTTTCAGCTTTGTATTCTTGTTATTTAAAAAGTGCACCTAGACATTCTGTTGCAGCGCTCATAACCTAGGTTTAAGGTGCCATATAGCTCCTAGCTTTCATATCTCAGTTTTGAACACCGCAGCAAAGGACAAGTGAGGCAGAAATACAGAATGTGGCCCTCAGAACACAATGGACCAGAATTGTCAGATCACACAGCTCCATCCCAGATTTCTCTTTCTCCAACACCTCCAAACATTTCCTGCCCTCATATGCCAGAGAACAGCATCCGTCTCTGCATTCTTCTCAAAAAAGGGGGCAAATTTGAAAAACCAAATGAGGCATAAAGTCTCTATACACTCAACACATTCTAATGAAACATGTACTCAAACATTTAAAAATAGCAACATACTTGCACTGACAGTACAATTTTATATAGTCTTACTTAAAACTAAATCCACTGAGTTCAATGGAGCATACTCACAGGAAACTGCATATACAATTTCAGCCTGAAAAAGGCTTGTCTTCAAATTACATGGCTTTATTAATTGTTTGTGCCACTGCCTAGACTTCTTCATTTCTTCACCAGATTTTCGCACTGTACTTATATTCAGCAGTTTATTCTGTTTTACCTATGACTTGCACACAAAGCTGTTTTTTGCAGCAACAGTGCAGTTGTAACTGCACATGGGGAAAAATATTGTGGTGTAGTAGACAGTGTACTAGTAGTAGGATAATGCCAGAAGTATTTTCCTTGAGTTCCACAGGCAATCATTTATGCCTGAAGGCATAGGTTTTATTTACTCTCTTAATATCATCTTACTTTTCAGTGCGGCAAATTTTAAGTGTTCTTCTGTAGTATTATGCAATATAAAACATTTCTGCCCTCTAACAGCACAGCATTTATTTAAAAATCAGGAAGTACACACACACACACACACACACACACACACACACACACCAGCAGCATTGATTAAAGACTGTAAGTGAATCAAGCCAGTCATTTATAATAGCATAGATTATCAACCATGAACGCTAGGTATCATGGGATTCAAAATACATTTAACAAGCTTAGCATAGAGCTGTTTATACTGTTGCTATAACAGGAGCACCTCTTATTGTGGTATATTTATTTATCCATCCTTAAAAAAGGAGAAAATTTGTTCAGTGTTCCCTCTCACTTATAAGAGAGCTGTTATGAAATGAACCTTAACATTCAAAGGTTAAAGTCATGCCCTATGGCCAGATTTCAAACAGATTCCCTGAAAAAAATATTGCCTTTTCATATTCAGATACACAGCACACACTATATGTAGTCAAGGTTTGATACAACAATCCAGTTTTCTGTTCCATTAAACTTCTTTCTTCTTCTCCTCATCACACTGGGGTCCTTTCTGTCATTTGGTTTGTCTCGATAGGTGAAACATTTGCTGGCCAGAGCTTGCATGCCTATCTGTGGCAAACTGATGCACAACAAAATGGCTCTTGTACGGCATCTCTGGTGGAAGGTGAAATGAAATGAAAGATGCAATGGCCCAGTTCAGATGGCCCTGTTCAGATGATGATATCTCAGCTTATTAAATCAAGATACACACGAGTCTTTTGGTTCTATGGTTACCAGCTTTAGAAGAAGCCAGGATATATATCTTGGCTTGTTCTGAAGGTGGCAACCATAGTTTCCCAATTCAGACAAGACAGAAACTATGGTTAATTAGAGACTTCCTGCTTTAAACGTAAGTTTCACCAAGGGGCTGCATGCAGAGGCAATTATGATTTTCTAAATGTGGCCAAAGATGGATGAGATGAAGTGGTATTTTATTGAAGACTACTACTCTGTGTGCAGTGTGCACTTCCTTTTACGAAGTGTAGGTTAGCAGAAATTATAATGACTGTCGGGATGCTTATAGATATAAATACATTTAGTCTATTGAACCAGAATGTTCTGAAATAAGGTACATTTAACAGTCATCCATCCCCAAGGAATGGCAGCTTCGCTTCGCTGAAAGAGTCTGGAAGTGCTTTGTTGTAAGTGGAGGCCACTAGGCAGGCTATAGACAAAACAGACAAAGCCATTAGAAAAGGAATATGTGGAAGAGGAAGCCTGTGATAAAAGGGAAATTTCATGAAAATAGGAATGCTTCTCACTATCAGGGAGCTATGCATTCATTCACATCTACCCACTCTTTGCTCTTTTTCCAAACAAGCTCAGCATGCCTTATATATGGTTCATTAAAAAACATTGGAGCGTAAGAAGGGCCTGCTGGATCAGGCCAATGACCATCTAGCCCAGCATCCTGTTCTCACAGCATTCAGCCAGATGCTTGTGGGAAGCCAACAAGCAGGACCAGAGAACAAGAGTCCTCTCCGCTTCTGCACTTTCCAGCAACTGGTATTCAGAAACTTTACTGCCTCTGATATCCGACTGGTGGTCTTCCATTCAGGCAGTGTATATTGCTCTGCAAGTATAAAACGTGACTTTACACTATTTTCTAGACTGGAAGGATGGATACATCTGTAGAACACATACCCTGACTAGGATCATGTGTACAAGCAACATTTCAAAGGGACAGCTACCTGTATGTGACTCTGTCGCAACAACCATTACAATAATTATTGCAACACCTTAAAGACTAGAGCTTTTATCGGTTAGTGCATGCCTGATATGCATTTTATGTATCAATAAAATGGTCTAAACACCAGATCACTGGATGACAAGATGCAAAGATGACAATACTGATATCATTTGATAAATATGGGATATTAGAATGGTATGCTGCATTTATGCAAGCTATATCCTAATACATAAGAGCTAAGTAGTATATTAATTGTTGAAATACATAAATGTAACTTTCATTATCTGATTAAAATATGAATTAAATTGGTTTTATTTTAATGCATGCAAAATTATTATTTCTTTAAACTCTCAGTGTCAAAGGGATTACCATGTATTAGTTCTTTCAAGTTATATGGAGACAATATATTAGAACCAGTATTAGGAAACACTCTACAGATTTTGAATATAAATTAAAATTCACATCTACCACTTATTTTGTTTACATTAGAATAGCTTGTTTACACAAACTGTTGAATACCGTTTTTTAACAGCTTTATTACTCAAGTGTGGTAAGACTTTAAGCAACAGATAGCCAATTTATCTTTCTAAATGTAAAGTGAGACTCCAAGCTATACTGTATTTGTGGTAAATGTTACACTTCTTTGTGTAGGGTGGAAAACTAGACTTGTCCAAACAAAGGGAAATTAAGCTGCAACAGATGGGCAGAGAAAGAGCATTAACAGAAGAGGAAACAACATCAACAGTATGCCCACTTCAGCAATCTTAGACATTCAGCAGAATTACCACAGAATAATAAGACTGCATTCTTGTCTCTTTTTTAAACAACAACAACAACACACCTGTTGGTATGATTCAAAAGATAGTTGTTTTTACACTGAAAAATATACATGCAAGATGGACAGCTGTGAATGAAGTATGAGTATTCAAATGGCTGAGGTTCCCTGAAATAAATACATGACTGGGGTTCCCTTCTTTCAAATTTATTGCAATCTCATCAAACACTTACATGTCATTCATATTGCACCATGTGTGCCTTTTGCCTTTTAAAACTTGCTTTTTGTACCTTCATTAAGAAATAATTAATTGTGCCCCTAAGAATCCAGTTTCAGTTACTTTCCTCCCAAAAAGCTGACATATGACTCGAGATCAAATTGCCATAAAGTTATTGATGCATCTTTCTTTTTTTAACATAAAAGGTCAATGGTATGGAAACCGAAGTGTTTTAGGGCCTGTTCACATCATGTATTCATCCAGGGCCAACCCTGTATTTATAGGGTGAGGGGAGGTGGAAGTATATAGAGGAAGCAACTGTGTGACTTGTGGTTGTCAATGTTGTCTCTGATGTTTTATATGCAGTTCCATTTTAAAGTACTGTCATCATCCTGGAAGCTGTTGTTATTGGATGTAGAGTGTTCACACAAATGCCACACAACCACTTTTACTGCTCATTTATGAGCCCTCCTTACAAAAGACCACAAGGAGATAGAGGAGAGGTCTGCAAGACATGATAACGACAAATGTGGGAAGGTCTTCAAAGATAATGATTCCCAACTAACATGGCATGTTTTCCATACAAATGCATCTAATAAATAATATCAATGTGTGATGCTAGGCAACCCATTCCTCTTCATCTGCTTTTAACTGCAGAAGGACAAATAAGGACTTGCACCACCACACCTAAAGGCATAATTCTATGCCTGACAAGTGGGGTTGAGATAATCTACTTTACTCTCTAAAATTTGAACTCTACTTGGATACCATACAGTAAACACTTACTACAGGAAACCCTAGCTTAGGATTGTACAAGTCTTTTTTTAAATCCCAAAAAGCCAAAAAACACCATGAGCGATCTACAATGTGATCTGCCACATTGTATAGTAGATCACTGGTGCAATTGCTTCATCTACAAATGCTGTTGAACTGCTCACACTGTGCAGATGTGTTTACCTGGAATCATGGCCAGAGCCAGTTCTAAGGTCAAATCAGCAACATAAGCATAAACATTGGCATTAGAACTTATCTTGCTTTCCCTTGGGCATACTTTACATTACATACCTTTAGTCATGATAACAGCTTCAACTTCCACATATAAATACAAACAAATACTATATAAGATTCACTTCCTACTGTCATGCAATACTGGAACTTGCCTGCATTCTCAACATGCCTCTGAAACATTAAGACAAATTTCCGAGAACCAGAAATATCTGGTTATAATGGCAATACAAAAAGTCTTGTGACAAACTGACTGAGTAATTAGTTTATTGGGGAATGAGCTTTCATAAGGAGGGGAGGCAGAAGGCTATGCACTAGCTGTATGGAAATGAAAACAAAGAAATTCAGCAGATCGTTAACAACAGGAATAGGGGACCTGTGGCCCTCTAGAAGTTGTTGGCTATGTTGACTGGGGATTATAGGAGTCAGAGTCCAACAACTTCTGGAGTGCAGCAGGTTCTCCACGTGGGCTTAAAGTTGCAGAAGGTTCAATAGTGCTTTTAAAGTTTCGTGATGATTTTATATTGCTATACACAGCTCTGATATTGCATGAGGTGTGTGTGTGTGTGTGTGTGTGTGTGTGTGTGTGTGATGTACTCCTATTCCCCAACCTTAACCATGATAATTCATCAGAAAATCAGATTGAGTTCAGCGTGATTTAACTCTGACTAAGAAAGTGAAATGATCCTGTACATGTTTACTCAGAAGTAAGCTCAATTAAATTCAATGGCATGTACTCTCAATTAGCATGGGTCTGCAGAGATAAGGCACTCCTGCCATTGGCAGCCTACTTCTGGAAAGGAGTGTAGCATTTGAAAGATGATCAAGGCACAAATATATACTGTAGTCATTAAGTCTGGCAGGTCTTGCAGTGCTATTAAGATAATATAAAGTGACACTTCATTTCTTTGTACTACTGAGGGTAGGGGTGTCCTGAGGTATAGATGTACTGCAGAATTATGGTGACATTTCCCTTCCTACCTCTCAAAACAGAAAGAAAATATTTTCTTTTCCTGGATACTTGTGTCCATATCATCAAGTGATGTAATTCACACTGGCTTCATGAAAGTTAGCAGAGCCCAGTTGAACAGGAAGTCTGTTTATGGAATGGGAGGGGGGAGCTTTTGGTCTTTCACATTTATAATTCAACTTCAATAAGCCAAGCTACGCATTATAATTTTTAAACCTATTGTTTACAAGCCATTAAGTAAACTTTTTGTTTGAAATACAACATATGCTCCCTCTACAGCTTTCTAAATCACATGATACTTGGACAGTCCAAAGATTAAGGTCCATCCTGTTCATAATAAGTAACAAACAGTAGAATCGTTAGTCACTAAATTAAAAAAAAAAAAGTTTATGGAAGTTGAGAATCAGAGTCAGCCTCATCACAAATAAAAAGGAAGGAAGAAAACAAATTCTGCATACTACTTTATACTATTCTACTTGAGGTTAGCTCAGTGAGTCTCAAACCTCATTGAAGGGGGTGGATGGGACATTGGGAGAAAATATATGTTAAGCTGCAGGGAAGGTTCTAGAGGTAGATGGCACCAATCAAGCCCTGTGTAGAATAAATCCTCCCACCAATGAGGTGATTTCAGGTGGTCACCTCCCTTTCTGCTCCATTATTCCAAAGTGACTTGAGCATAAAACATTCCTAAAGAGCTGCATTGTTCATATTTTTTTCCCACATGACTTGAGATGGGAGTTAGAGTTAACCTGTCATATTGTTAATGCAGGTTTACTTCTCCAATTCATTGACCCTTCAACTCAGTAACAGCCCCTGTGCTCACAAGTGTGTGCAGATACCATTGCATATTCAACCACAGACAGAGTTATTGATGCTGGATTGGGGAGCTACAGTAGGTAATGTAAGTTTTAAGAACTGGAGAAAACTAGGTTAGATGCTTCCACTTTTGATCCGAAACAGTGTGTGCTAGGTCAAAAATGTATCATGCATCCCTGAAGATAATATGTATCTGCTTTCATAAAATGACTGCCCCAAGACTATTACAAAATTGAAGCTATTGTATATAACAAATAAAAGCTCATAAAGTAAGGAGGGGCAACATTTATAGTGAAATACATTTCCTTTAAGTTTCTAGTATGCCATTTATGAATTAAGCTAAGCATCCTGATCCTGCACATGCTTTAAGTTCCATGACAGTTGCTTCCTTGTAAAGCCACAATCCTACGTGGTAGTTGCACATCTACTGAGTAGTTTCAGTGAAACTATCACTAATTAAACATGTAAACAACCAGACTAGCTGCAAATACGCCCATGACTCCAGCCTTGCCCCTCAATGTCATGCATGTTTACTCATAAGTAAATCACTGTGTTCAAAGGGATTTTCCCACAAAGTAGATGAAGCATCGCGACCTTGATTAATGCTCTTGTTGATTCATGATCAAATCAAAGTTCAGAACAGATTTGTTTCCTCTAAAATTGTTTTTTTAAACCCCCCCCAGGAAAAACTACAATTATCAACATTTTATTATGCAGTTATTTGTTGGGATCAAATGCTAGAATACACCTGTTCCTCTGTTGGAAATAAAACACATAATTCATTATTTACAAATTGGGCCAGGATTAGTATCACACACACAGCTTTTTAAAAGTGTTTGTGGGAGGGGAGGTTATTGTTTTGACTACTGTGCTTTTATCTTGTGTTTTTATTTTGTGAACTGCCCTGAGATCTTTTGATGAAGCTTGGTATAAAAATCAAATGAATGAATAACATAATACAATGCTTTTAGTACTGCTCAGACAGCAGTCTTGGAGTTTGACCCTTGGTGTCCCTGCCAACACTATAATTCTATGACTTGATGATTCTATGAATCTCAGCACCCTGTAGGTGTCCGAGGCCATATGGACAAAAAATATAGTCACACAAGCACACACGGGAAGGCTGTTGATTCCTTGGCATTAGCATGAACTGCTTTGTGTGCAAAGCTGGTTACTAGTGTTACAATCAGTAAGTAGCACAACAACAAATTACAAGGTTAGAACAGCCCAGTGGATAAAAAGTACCAACCCACAAAATGTTTCATGAGGTGCCTTGACCAGAATGAGCTGTAAATCACTGAGAGACTGACTACCTCCTAGGCTGAGCTAATCCACCAACAGAATCTCCAGTGCTGGCATGTTACCGACTAACGGAATGTTCCGTGTGAAATGAACTGGCTGCTAAAGGTTTCTGCTTGAAGTTGTACATATAGCAGATTAGTCCAGCTGTAGTCATGGAGTATTGGTTGCACTTATTTTGCACATATGAAGCAAAACTATTATTCAGCTCTCAAACAGAAAGAAAAAATGCAAGAGTAAACAGGCACCAAAAAAAGTGAGTCATCACTTCCAAGGCAAAAGTTATTTTGCTTTCAGTTACATGAGCTGAATATAAACTATCAGTGTGGCAGGTATATCCAGTTTACCGCTTGCAAATATTGCCCACCCTGTCATCCCTCCCCAGTCAGCAATCCACATTGTATTTTGTTGGAGAAATATCCACAATCAGTTTTTGGGTTGCTTTTCCGCCCTAATAATTATAATAATAATAAAAAATACTTGATTTTAGATCTGTCTCAATCGCCCACAAAACTGAGAACCCCACAAATCAAGAAAACGATTTTTGCCCCCAATTTGCTTTGGCTGGCCCTAGGCTCCGGCTTCATTGCCTGCGAGTCGCATGATGCGGAGATCTAGATCTCAAGGCGCCCTTCCAGCTGCCCAATCCCCAAGGCGGCAGCAATGCTGTCCCTTGTACCTGCCCTGCCCCAGCCTGCCTCCTCGACGGACATGACAGCGCAGAAAGCAGAAGCATCCCCTCAGGGACGCGAGAGCCCGCCAATGCCGGCTGTGGGTTTTGTACCTCCTTCACGCTCCCCGTCCGGGACTCTTCGCAGCTGCTGCTGCTGCTGCTCCCCCTTGGCCAGCGCTCCCTGCTCGGCCCCTGCGAGCCACCCTCTGCGGACGACACCCGAACCGCTGCCTCTCTCCCGAATCCCAGGGCTCCGGAGCTGCCAGACGCCTCGGGCTGCTGGCTCCCTGGTTACCGCGGGCAACAATCCCACCCCAGCGACAGGCGTATACACACGCACTGCTGCACCTAGCAGCAGCCGCGGCCGAGAAAGCTCCGCCTCTTCTCTCCCCCCCCACCCCTCGCTTCTGCAAAGCGCGCGGAGCTTCTCCTCAGTCACAGGCGCGGGGGTTTTCTCTGCGCGCGTGAGGGATGGGAAGGCAAGCAGGTGCGTGCGCGTCTACTGGGACGACGAGAGAGGGAGGGAGGGGGAGCTGACTCGGGGTGCTGCGTTTTGCTCCCCCCCTCCCACCTCACAGAGGGATGCTGCGCGAGGCTAGCTGCGCGCGCGCGCGCGGCGCGACTCCATCTGAGGGAGCCACGCAGCGCGCCCGGCTAGCCCGCCATCCCGAGAACGAGGGCGCGCGCCTGTCCTGCTGCGGCGCCGGAGCAGCAGCTGCGAGGGTGTTTGTTGTCAGTGGCGCGTGTGGCCGCGGGTGTCGCTCTCCCGCTTCCCACCCTGGGCAAAAGGACAGGAGGAAGGGCTCCTTCCAGCTCCCTCTTCGTCTCTTTACACACACACGCACGCGGGGTTGAGGCACCCAGCAGCAAAGCCGAGCTGCCGCTCTCGAAGCGGGTGGCTGGCGCGCGCGTGTGCAGCGGACAGACTCTGGTCTTTCTGCCTAGGAGGCCCGCCATTTTTTTCAAGGGCAGATTCCCTCACGTGATGCCCCGACTAGATGCGAGAAAGCGAAGGCAGGCAGGAGCGGCCCCTCGAAGCAGCCCAGCGGCGGCGCTTTTCGCGCAGTTGACGCGCTCTGCCGGCGGCGATGGGGTCTTTTCAGCTGCAACTGGCATTTCTAGGTCGATACTTCGTACAGAAATTGTGTTAAGGGCACCGTAAGGTCATGCGATGTTCATAAGCAACCCTCATCTATACGTTGTCCTCTTAACATGGAAGCCTTTGAGGGTCTGCTTGACATTGAAGCCACTTAAGCCACTGCCGGTCAGCTGGAAGTGGACATGGGTCTGTCTCTGTAGAACAACGTGGCACTTGAAATAACGTTATTGGGACATGATAGGCTATTGTCACACTCCAGTTTCCTGTGGTTTGCTGGGTTTCCAGTGCGGAGTTGACACATGGACATAAGAAGAGCCTGCTGGATCAGGCCCATGGCCAGTCTGTTCCAGCACCCTGTTGTCACAGTGGCCAACCAGATGCCTGGGAAACCAGCAAGCAGGATTTGAGCAAAAGGGCTCTCTCACTTCCTGTGGTTTTCAGCTATTCAGAAGTGTTGCTGCCTCTAATTTTTAATCTGTGTTCGCACAACATTATTCAAAATGCATATGTATCCTGTACTTTGTTATGAAATGCTACCGCTCAATGCATTGCTTCTCAAACCAGCTTCACACCAGATGGAGTTCATTCCTAATTCATCTCTAGCTATAGAGTGAAGACATCCCTGCCCATCAGTGCCCCCTGTGTGTACACAAACAGAAACAAGTCTGACACAAATGAAGCCATGCTGATATGAACAGCTATGGTGGGAAGAGATGTGAAACACACCATACAGAAACAATTTCCTTGTGCTCCAAGGTGGTCATATGAACACACCCTTAGGAAGCTTCCATATACCCAGACCACTGGTCCATCGTATTACCGTATTTTTCTTCCTACTCTACTTCCTGTTCCTTAACCAGTCGCTGATTGTCCTGAACCCCTGGCCTACCTGACATTGTCAAGTCCAAAGTTCAGGGCTCAGCCCACACAAATAAAGTTCCAAGGTCAGGAAACACAGTCCAGGGTCAATCCAAGTAGCCAAGTCTGAACTCCAGCAGTCAGGATACAGTTCAGAGTCAAACCTGAAGCACAGTGCCATAGAGATCCAGGAGCACACACATCAAGGTCCCTCAATATGGGCAGCTGAGCAGATACAGCAACTCAGCTCTGTTTCCCTTTTGTACTTTGCATGCTGATTGCAGCATCTGGGCTTGATGAGGCATGTGACCTTCACTGGTTCCAAGCCTACTCTGGATGAGAAATCATAGGATTCCTCCCAGAGCTAGCAAGGCCCACCTGGCCAGTTAGTGAGCTGTCCTGTGGGCCCTTGCCTGCCTCAGCCTCCTAGAGCGCCACTCCTGCTGCTCCCTTTGCCTCGGAGCCTGCCATGTTCATGGGGACAGGGCCCCTTTGACCCGGCTGCTCTAGTTCTTGTGCGTTGTCCTCTGTCCCCTCGCCATCCTCCATCACCCTGTGAGTACTTCCTTCTCCAGCCCCTGCTTGCCCCAGTGTGTCCCAGTCCCAGCTACACCCCTCGCCGGGATCCTCTTCCTCTTCCCTGTCATCCAGCCAGTTTGTGACACTGATCCATAAAAGTACAGGTACTCTCATCTCAGGGCTAAGTTTGCTTGCTAAGAAGCCTTTGATGAAGGACTTTATCCAAGGATCACTGTTACATAAGAATAAATACTTCAGATGTTCTAACAATCAGTGAGTGGTAGTTTTGTTTATGGTTTCTAAGTTCTGTCTTAAAATATCCCTATGTGACGGGTTTTTGATGCTATTTTCCCCAATTTATTAAAATTTAGTTGATTAAAAGTCAAATTAATCAAATAAAATGATTTGAATAAATATTTTTGTTTTATGTCTTTATGTCTTTATTTATTTTTATAATATTTTAAATTACATTTTCTGTTTTATAATTTCAAATAAACATTTTACAAACTTTAAATATCCAATGACTTCCTTTCATCTCTTTCCGAGGTTTATTTTACATATCCTACATCCCTGCATATTTTACTATAACCATTCAAATCAATTTTCCACTTTTATATCCATCAAAAATTATTTACTCTGTTGAATTTATCTTAATGCTGCCAGTGTTTTCAGCTGTACAGTTATTTTCCATATACTCAAAATATGTCTTATATCTATTAGCCAATACTAAAAAAGCAGCTGCTCAAAGTGAACTAATTTACAATATGTTGCAGTAAGATATTGTTACATATATATAGGGCAAAGGTGCAAATCCTCTAATAACAGAATGTGGAGTGAAAAATGTACAATTATGCAGTTATTACAAAGCTTGGAAGTTATCTAAGTGTTAAAGAAGGCAGAATCTTAATATATTTAAACAGTATTTGGCAATGTGTATTGCTATAACACAGTAAGTTCTTCACAAGATAATACAATGTATACCAAATTATTACTTTTAATTTGTGAACAATAAGACTGATTTAACCAGTTAACAGTCCAGGTGGTGTCCAGTGGGTTTCATCTCAATTTTGTTTCCCTTGCCTGTTCACCATTCCCCTACTACTTAGGGGAGTCCTCAGATTGAACACCAGTCATTAAATGCTTATGTTAATAATACTGTTTTTTTTTCTTTCTCTCCATAATGTATTACTTGGCAAGTCAAATCTTCAGAACTCAGTAGACGCAATATGCATATTTTTTGTCTAGTATATGCATTGTGCTGATCTGCCTTTTCACTTGTGCACTCTGCTAATTTAATATGATCATTTTCGGCTTCTGCTCACAGTCTAGCAATCAACTGAGCACTGCAGAAAGAAAGCTGCAGTATAAAGAGAGGTAAGTGACAGGAAGACATCTAAGTAAGAGCTAAAAATATAACATTAGCCTATTTTCTCTGACTCCTGTTTATAACTTGGAGCCAAGAAAAATGTTGTGGTTTTTGCATGAACACTAGTTACTGCTTATTGGTATTTGTCATCTTTTGCTATTTCTGACCCACTTAGTTCAGAGGGGTTTACTCTACAGTTAGGGCGCATAGGATTTCAGCCAAAGACTATTTTCTGCCCTATGTACAGGTGCATTTGAACTATGGCTCAAGTGAGATGGTGTGCATGCTCACGTCTATGTTTTTAGAGTTTCCCCAACATTTTCCCCACTTTTCACCCTTAAATGAGCAGCTTCTAAGCAGTTTTAGAGGAAAGACAACAGTGATATGGGGATGAAGCAAGATACATTTTTCAGATTCCTGTGAACCAGCATGCATTGGAACAAAAAAATAAAAATTAAGCTCTTAGATGTCTGCATCAGATTTTTTTGGATCCTGGGTGATTTTGCACTTGTAAATTTTCAGTCTCTCCAATAGAACCTAATGCACAGCTGCTCAGTGAGTCTTTTTTAACTTGATGGCATAATATAAATATTACAACTCCCTCCATCCAACTTATAGATAGCTGAGTTTTTGAGCACACAGAGTACAAGGAATACTGATTGCTAAAAATAAAGCCAGAAAATAGGACATTAAACAAGCAGTGTCTGAATTCTACTTATGCTATAGAAATGTATTTATCATAAGAAGTGAAGATTAGTTGCGATAGAAGAAGGCAGGTAGAACACAGAGTAGATAGGATGGAGTTGTATGGCTGTGTGCAATTTACATATCTGAATTATCCTGGGATTGCAGGGGGGGGAGGGGTACGTTGCATTTCTGTGCTGGGGACAAGCTACACATGTCTCAGAATGGAGAGATATGGAAGTTTCTCCATCAAATACTTCCATCCAGCTAGAATGCTGCTTGCAGAATTGAACCATGATTAGGGACAAAGAAAGCTGCCTTATACTGAGTCCATCTAGCTTAGTATTCCCTACAGTGATTGGCAGAGGGTCTCCAGGATTTCAGTCTCTCCCAACCCTACCTAGAAATGCAAGGGATGGAAGTGGAGACCTTCTGGATGCAAAGAAGATGCTCTACCACTGAGCTACAGGCCTTCCAGAAATGCCATGGGAATTCTGTGTTTGCCACAAGCAAGAGAGCATTAGTTGCTCCTCTGCCTTGTTGAAATTGGTGGGGAAAGTTATTTTTGTCTTACCCAGTGCCGGATTTACATATAAGCTAAACAAGCTATAGCTTAGGGCCCCACTCTCTTGCCCCCCACCCCAAATATACTTCTTAATTGTATTTCACTATTAATATACTTCTTCTTAATTGTATTTCAGTTCAACAATTACTTTGATAAAATACATATTTTGTTATGTGCAAATGGCTTTAGATACCTATTAGGTCCATAAATTACCATATAGCATATATTCAACACAAAAAACAGTGACAATTTGTTGTTGACAAAGGACAGCTGGACATATAAAAGGCCCCATTACTTTCAGTAGCTTAGGGCCTCATCAAACCTAAATCCGGCCCTGCTTACCAACAAACTTTAGGTATGGAGAGAAATCAGTGAGAAGAAAGTTGTAATAAATAGAAACAAATATATAAAATAAATATAGGTAAAGGTAAATAGGTCAATGACCCTATGACGGTTAAATCCAGTAAAAGGCAACTGTGGGGTGCGGCACTCATCTCTCTTCAGGCCGAGGGAGCTGGCGTTTGTCCGCAGACAACTTCCCGGCTCATGTGGCCAGCATGACTAAACCGCTTCTGGCACAACAGAACACCATGACAGAAACCAGAGTGCATGGAAATGTTGTTTACCTTCCCGCCACAACGGTACCTATTTATCTACTTGCACTGGTATCCTTTCAAACTGCTAGGTTGGCAGAAGCTGGGACAGAGCAACGGGAGCTCACCCAGTCGCACAGAATCAAACTGCCTATCTTCCGATCAGCAAGCCCAAGAGGCTCAGTGGTTTAGACCACAGCGCCACCCATGTCCCTAAAATAAATATAAGTGGCTGTCATGAAGGTACTGAACGCTCCGAAGGACTGTGTACATATTTATGCATTAAATTCATTTCAGCCTAGCACTAATCCAAATTAAAGTAGTAATACAGGAAATCTCATACTGTTATCATTATTTAACAAAAAATAGGACAAGACCCCTGTGAAGCATTAGCCACTTAACAATGTTTTTTAAAAATATATCTAAAAAGAC